TACAGGCACCCGCCACCATGCCTGGCTAATTTTTGTATTTTTAGTAGAGACGGGGTTTTGTTATGTTGGCCGGGCTGATCTCAAACTCCTGATCTTAAGTGATCCTCCCGCCTTGACCTCCCAAAATGCTGGGATTACAGGTGTGAGCCACTGTGCCTGGCCTATATTTTAAAGCAGTGACATGTTTTGGCTTTTTTCAGGTTAATTTTTTAACTGCATCAGAAAACTGGTTTGATTAATGTTTACTGAAGTGAATAAAAGCAAATATAGTAAGCTCACATTAAGCGTCATCAGGATGTGAGATTTTCCAGATAAGTGATTTTTTTAGTTAGTGGAAACGTTTTAAGTACCAAGGTTCTATAAAAATACCTTCATTGCCGAACATATGCAACATAATGCAACTTTATTTTCAGTATTGGTTTGTCATTATGATACAATACTGATGTCTTAGGGCAGCTGCAGCTGTGCTTACCCTTTTCTCCTCCTTCCCCTTCTAAATTTGTGGTTTCTTGTCCTTTATTATTTTAGAGAGTAGTTATAATTGTGCCTAATACAGGAATGGATATGTAAGAAGAGGACATTTTATGAGCCATGGTCTTTGTGACATTTACTTTGATTATTTAGAGATTCTTCTAATACTTATCTGTTACCTCTCCCGCCTCACTGCCGTTGAATTCTTCGCAGTCTGGCATAGTCTGGATAGGTGATTTTTAGAGAATTGAGGCTTGATTTTTTGTGTGTGATATTGTAGATATAATTTTATCCTATGTAATAGGTGAATTGTGGTTATTTGGTATATAGTTTTGCGACAAAAGAGGTGTCACCAAAATCAGGAATTATTTACATTTTTGTGAAAAGCATGTGGATTTTATTCTTACGTTTTAACAGTGTAAGTACCATCATTTATTTTATCAAGCAGTATATGCTTTTTAAATTGGAAACGCTATGTGTAACTTGCCATGTTTGTAACATTTAAGTTAATGGTTACAACTGATGGATTTGAAATATTGTGTTATTAAACTAGAAATTTGTATGAAATGATATATAATTAAAAGTTAAATTACAGTGTATTTTAAAATTTAATACTTTTACAGATTAAGATTTTAATGACTTCAATTTAATTTTTAAAATTTGGTTTATGTTTATTCAGGTGGGTGATCATATTTTTATCTTTACTATTGGATGATAAATGTTTTGGAAGATCATTGCTGTTTGTTTTAAACATGTGATAGCTAAGCAGTTTTTATAAAGGGCAATTTCCTAATAGAATTTATTTTTGGTTTTATTAGTGGGCAAATGGGATCTGCCTCACGGTTTTTGTACATTCTGGTTAAAAGAGAGAGACTTATACTTTTGTTATAGTAAGTTATGTGTGAAAGTGAATTTTACATATCTATATGTTTTATATGTATTTTGGCATGAGATGGGAAGAACTAACTAAAAATTCAATTAAGATAATTAGCAATATAATCTGAGTAGAGTCTGTATTACTTTAAAAATTCAGGGTCTCTAAAAAATCCTTTGAAATAGTTATTAATTTTAATAGGACCATACTTTTTTTTTTTTTTTTTTTTTTTTTTTGAGACGGAGTCTCGCTCTGTCGCCCAGGCTGGGGTGCAGTGGCGCGATCTCAGCTCACTGCAAGCTCCGCCTCCCGGGTTCCCGCCATTCTCCTGCCTCAGCCTCCCGAGTAGCTGGGACTACAGGCGCCCGCCACCTCGCCCGGCTAGTTTTTTGTATTTTTAGTAGAGACGGGGTTTCACTGTGTTAACCAGGATGGTCTCGATCTCCTGACCTCGTGATCCGCCCGTCTCGGCCTCCCAAAGTGCTGGGATTACAGGCTTGAGCCACCGCGCCCGGCCTATTCAGTCTTTTATGTTAAAAAATTATAATGTTTAGGTCTATACTAATTTGGACGTGTTTTATTTTGAAATAAAAAGCAATATTTGTAAACTTGGAAATTAATGTAAATGTGTAATTTGAAATGAGATGGCTAGGTCGGTAATACTTCTTCAATCAATGAAATAATTATTATTCTAACCTGAAATAGCAACATCTGGTCAAAACAAAATTAGTAGATAAAGTTCTTGAGTCATGACACAACATATGATTTGTCTGTAATATTACCACTCAAGTTTTACCCATTTTTTTTCCTGTTACTCAGTGATACATGTTTTTACTCACATTTAAATACATAAATTTTACTCTACTGTGTTAAAGGACTGTGTTAACAGTTAGTTCTGGTTTTCTGATTATTGTATTTATCTTCTACTCTCTATAGTTTAATGATGTTATAGTTTTTTGGTTTTATTTCATGTATAGTGTGACTTTTTAAAACTACTAGACAAATGGAAAGTTTAGTTGTGCTTCGTATTTTAGAAGAATTCACGTAATGAAAATTCTTTCCTAACAGTCATCCCCTCCCCACAAGATAAACTGCCCCAATTATTTAGCTGATCGTTGTTGGTGCTGTGATGTAGTAGGACGAACCAAGTCAGTGGCAGGGACTTGATTCTGGCTTTGTTAGAACTAAATGTTTTAGGTATCTAATTTAAACAAGATAAGGAAATTTATGCACAGAGAATGTACTTATTTGTGAAGTGGAAATATATATAATTTGACTTTTTTTTTTTTTTGGTCTCGCTGTGTTGCTCAGGCTGATCTTGAACTCCTGGGCTCAAGTGATCCTCTTGCCTCTGCCTTCTGGGTAGCTGGGATTACAGTTTCGTGCCACCACCCCTAACTCTAATTTGACTTTTTAGATATATTTCAAAGCACTTGGAAAATTTGTGTTTTACAATATCAGTTGTTTGATTTCACTTTCTAAATGGCTATTGTCTCTCAAAACTCCTTATGGTCATTTGCAGATACAAAACTCAGAATCTCAGAATCACTTAACAGACTTGATGTGTTATATTCTGGTAAATGTGCTAGAGTTCAGATTGATACCCTTAGCCTCTTTGTTAGACTGTGTTATAGAGATGCATAGACTGGATTTCTTACTGTGTTGCTATTAATGCATCTAAACATCTAGAGTCTGAAGACTGTTGTAGAGTTAGGCTTTAACTTTTAGCTCTCTTGATATAGGAGATGATAGGAATTTTTAGGAGACAGGAAAAAGGTGAGACAATGAGTACACAATGGGGGCACAAGCTCCAACTGTTCTTTTTTTTGTTTTTTGTTTTTTTTTTGAGACAGGATCTCGCTCTGTTGTCCAGGCTGGAGTGCAGTAGCATGATCACAGCTCACTGCAGCCTGGACCTGCCAGGCTGAAGATATCCTCCTGCCTCTCAAAGTGCTGGGATTACAGGCCCCTAATTTTCTAACTTGTAGGAATGGTTTGTAGTTCTGATAAGTCAATTTGTAAGTTTAGGAAAACTTAAGCTTGGATATCTGGTGAATTTATTAAAGAATTAACGTCATTAAACTGCTTTGCTGATTATAATAACAAATGAGATTCTCTGTCTTAAATGATTTTGTTTTGAAAACATATGGGTTGGATTTACTTTGTTATATTGTGATACTCTTACCAGCTGTGATTGTAACGATTCAACTTTTGATGTGACTATCTTTTATAATCTGTGTCTGTGATGTGATAAAAGTTGACCATCCATGTTTGCCTGAAATACCAAGACTCTCAGTTTTAAGACTGATAGTCCTGGGCAAACTGGGACAAATTGGTCTCCTAAATTTGGTGTCCACAAAGGCTAATCCTGAGAAAGAGACAGTTACAATTTTGCTTATAATTTGGTTATCAAAAGGAGTTGTTTTGCTTGAAGACAGACTCAACTTGTTTACTAGTATTAGTATATGAAAACACGTAGGTTTCTTTGTCAGGATTTAAATATGCTGGCAAAAAATGTCATTACCAGTGAATCTTGAGGTTCAGATGGCTTTGTTTTGGCTCTTTGAATGCCACCCATTTACTAGCAATATGGCGGGTGAGTTTATATCATTATCAAGTTTTCTTCAGCAATCTGCTGTAAAACATTCCAGTTAAGGAAATCAAAGCTCAAGGAACGTAAATAATTTCTGAAGGTCATGTAGCTGGTAGATAGCAAAGGCACATTTGGATCTTAGGATTCCTGATTCTGAACCTCCCCTCCCCTCCCCTCCCCGCCCCGCCCCTCCCCACCCCTCCCCCCCACAGAGTCTTGCTCTATCGCCCAGGCTGGAGTGCAGTGGCACGATCTCGGCTCAGTGCAAGCCCCACCTCCCAGATTCACACCATTCTCCTGCCTCAGTCTCCCAAATAGCTGGGACTACAGGCGCCTGCCACCACACCCGGCTAATTTTTTTGTATTTTTAGTGGAGATGGGGTTTCACTGTGTTAGCCAGGATAGTCTTGATCTCCTGACCTTGTGATCCGCCCGCCTTGGGCTCCCAAAGTGCTGGGATTACAGGCGTGAGCCACTGCGCCTGGCCGTAATTCTTAATTTCTAGTAGTTTCTCATCAGAATTAATAATAGATACATAAACTGGTTTCTAGTTAATATTGTAAGATCAAAAAAGAAGAGCATCGCTGGTGGCCTTTTAGACATATAAGCCACTGGTGATGATTAATGTTTTCAGAGGGTCTACTTTGGAAAATTTTGATGAAAAGATATGAACCTCATTTTACTTTAGAAAAATGCAGCCAACTTTGAAAAATACACCAACTTTTGAATATTCAGATAATGAGTTCCTCTGTTCTAAGGAGATGTTAGTTGTCTAGAATTAATGCTTATTTGTCTTAACTGTGTTTTCATAAGCAGTGTGTAGGAATAGTTAGAGAAAGTAAAATAGCTTGATTTAGTGCAAGTTTTATTTTTAAAATGCCTTATCTGTTACTGTTCGTAAAGTTTTGTTTTGTTTTGCTTGCCTCCTTATGATATAATATTCTGAGATAAAAATTTGTTGTTACAAAATGATAGCAAGCATTATGTGTAACTTTTAATTAAATCCATTTTCTTCAGGTAAAAATAATGTATTTAACTTTTAATTAAATCCATATTCTTCAGGTAAAAAGAACGTATTCTCATGGTACTTACAGAGCTGGCCCAATGCGACAAATAAGCTTGGTGGGAGCAGTTGATGAAGAAGTAGGAGATTATTTCCCTGAGTTCCTTGACATGTTGGAAGAGTCACCATTTTTAAAAGTAAGAGATAATCTCTCCTGGGATTAGAGTTTTTGTTTAAAAAGGCAAGAAAAACCAATATGAGTAATCTAAATTGTGAGTGTTTCTTTCATGCTACATGCACTATAAATGAATGGCTGTTTCAGAAATGGAAACATTTTGGTTTATTTGAACTGGAGGGAAGGAGAGCAAGAGATGGGAAACTCACATAATTCTTGTGTGTACATGTGACATCTCAGGTCCTGATTGTAATGGCAAAGCTAAGTGGTGGGCCATGAAATAACACCTGTTAACACTTTAGGAATTTAGGTTCCATGTGTTTTTCAGCTCTTTATAAACTAAGTACTAAAGGATTTAAGAAGTACAGGAAAGATTCTACTACAAATGTTTAAGACAAAGGAATGGCAGTTTAGCATTGTGGAAAACTGGCCTGGGAAATTACACATCCATATTTTAGCCTTGGCTGTACCTGTCTGGGTTGGGAAAGCCATTTAAACTTTCTGGGCTCATCCATAAAATAACATGTTTAGACAATGTAGCCAAAGGCCCCTTTATTTTATTTATTTTTTTGAGACAGTCTCACTGTGTGTCCCGGCTGGAGTATAGTGGTGTAATGTGGAGCCCTGACCTCCGTGGGCTCAGATGATCCTCCCACTTCAGCCTCCCAAGTACCTGGGACTACAGGCACATGCCACCATGCCCAGCTAACTTTTGTATTTTTTGTGGAAATGGGGTTTCACCACGTTGCTGAGACTGGTCTCGAACTCTTGGGCTCAAGTGATCCTCCTGTCTTGGCCTCCCAAAGTGCTGGGATTACAGGTGTGAGCCCCTGTGCCCACCCCCACAGGCCCCTTTAAATAATTTGTAGCCAGATTCCTTTTTTTTTTTTTTTTAAAGCCTCTTCATTTTCAGAAAATATTTCTTCTTGTGAGCTGCTGGGGCTATCCCACTGAGAGAGGAATCTCTGAGCTGTGTAGTTAGGTTAATTATTTAATCATTAACTCAAAGGTCAGTGCAAACCTGCACTGAAATTCAGGGTCCAGGTAAGCTGTGGAATGTGACAAGATTTCTAATACTCACCACATAATCTATAGGACATCTTTTCTTTTACCACTTCTGTTTGCTTGGTGTTTTTACCCTCTATGTGCCTGTATCTTTTTCTTCCCTTTCTCTTTAACCTTGTTCCATTCCTTTTTCTCTTTTCCTTTTAAACTTTTTGTTCCTTTTCTACTTCTCTCTAGTAGTTACATAATGGAATTAGGTTGCATTTGTTATTGAATTATATTTAAAAATTACCAAATATTATTTAAATGGTTGCTTCAAATTTAATTTTCAAAGTACATGAACTAAATGCATTATTTCTCTTTTCCTTCCGCTTCTGCTTCCCCTTCCCCTTCCCCCTTCCTTTTCCCTTTCCCTTCCCCTTTCCCTTCCTTTCCTTTGACAGGTCCTGCTATGTTGCCCAGGCTAGTTTTGAAGTCCTGGGCTCAAGCAGTCTTCCTGCTTCAGCCTCCCAAAGTGCTGGGATTATAGACGTGAGCTACCCGCACCCAACCTAAATGCATTGTTTCTACAGAAATTTGACAATCCTTTTTGAAAAGGGGGTGTGTGGTGAATTTTTTAAAAAAATTTTTTTCTCAACATTCCATGGACAGTGGCCCTCAGTTTCCTTCCTTCTTCTCTCTGTCTCTCTCTGTTTTTTGGTTTGAGACCATCCAGGCTGGAGTGCAGTCGTGCGATCTCGGCTCACTGCAACCTCTGCCTCCCAGGTTTAAGTGATTCTCATGCCTCAGCCTTTCGAGTAGCTGGGATTACAGACACTACCATGATCCGCTAATTGTTTGTGTTTTTACTCGAGATGGGTTTCGCCGTGTTGCCCAGGCTGGTCTCAAACTCCTGAGCTCAGGTGATCTGCCTGCCTCAGCCTCCCAAAGTGTTGGGATTACAGGCGTGAGCCACTGTGCCTGGCCACCTTCTTCTCTTTTCTCTTCCCGTTCCCCTCTGTCTCTTTTCTCTCTCTTTCTTTCTTTTTCTTTCTTTCTTTCTTTCTTTCTTTCTTTCTTTCTTTCTTTCTTTCTTTCTTTCTTTCTTTCTTTCTTTCTTTTTTCTTTCCTTCTTCTTTCTTTCTTTCTTTCTTTCTTTCTTTCTTTCTTTCTTTCTTTCTTTCTTTCTTTCCTTTCTTCCTTTCTTTCCTTTCTTTCTTTCCTTTCTTTCCTTTCTTTCTTTCTTTCTTTCTTCTTTCTTTCTTCTTTCTTTTCTTTTCTTTCTTTCTTTCTTTCTTTCTTTCTTTCTTTCTTTTCTTTCTTTTCTTTCTTTTCTTTCTTTTCTTTCTTTCTTTCTTTCTTTCTTTCTTTCTTTCTTTCTTTTCTTTCTCTCTCTCTCTTTCTTTCTTTCTCTTTCTTTCCTTCTTTCCTTCTTTCTCTCTCTTTCTTTCTTTCTTTTTCTTTTCTCTTTTTTCCTTTCTCTTTCTTTCTTTTCTTTCTGCTAGAGGTGAATCATACCTCTAGCAGGGTAGGGGGACAGAACCATCCAAGCATAATTATTTTCTTGGTGTGTTTGAAACAATTTTTTGAAGCAAAGTATATCAATATATAGGGATATATTCAGTATGTATTTCAAGTGCTTAAATACAAAGCTGTGAATGAAAGTGTGTTTGTCAGGGGAACAATGTTATTATTAACATACACTTGAAGATACATTTTGAAAATAATTGCAATCTACATAATTATTTGTCTCCAGTGTACACTGCCATGGGGGACGCTATCTAGTCTAAAATTACAGAGTCGAAAAGATAGTGATGATGGTCCCATCATGTGGGTTCGTCCAGGAGAACAAATGATCCCTGTGGCTGATATGCCAAAGTCACCTTTCAAAAGGAAAAGGTATGTTGTATACACATTTTTATTAGAGGAGATGAGTGTTTGTATGTTGGGGTGTGTATGTTAGTTCAAAATTGGAGGAAGAAGGAAGGCAAAGTTTAGACCATAATTGGGATATAAATTTAAAAATAGTGATACATGCTAATATAATTTGTTATAAAACCTAAAATGTAAATAGGGCATGAGAAATGTAGGCAAATGACAAGAAATCGTAATGATGAATGGAAAAAATGTCATAAAATATAAACTATTTTGGAATAAATTTAATAATATTCAGAACCTGTGCTAAAAAGACTAAAACATTTTGTGGAGGATATAAAATAAGATCAGAACAAATGGAAAGCCTTACTGTGTTCTGGATTGGATAAAAATAATAGTTCTTTAAATTTTTTTGCATTTCAATTGGACTAACACTTCCATTCCTGGATAAAATGATTTTAAAATTCATAAGGAAGTAAATTTTTCAGTGAAAGAGAAGATAAGTGAGGGGGAGCTTATGATACAGGATATTAAAAGTTACTATAAAGTTCAAATAGATCATTGGAATAAGAGTCCAGAAATAGATCTAAGTATATTGGGAACTTAATATATGAGATAGGTGGGAAGAGGAAGATGTATTTAATGAATAATGCTGGCATATTTGGCTCTCATAAAAACAAAGGCGGCAGAGCCCCTACCTTATTTCAAGAAGTAAATTAGAGAATTAAGCATCACAGATAAAACAGTTAAAATATTAGAATAAAATTGTTTAAGCCTGGAGGAGACCTTCCTAAGCAAGACCAAACAATGCAGTGACAATAGTATTTGGGAGGGAAGTGACATCAACAATGAAGTTCAAAATTATGATAGACTGGACTAAAACATTCGGAACTCATGACAGACTAAAGTTAATGTCCAAAGAGCATTCTCAAGTGTAAACAACCGAGTAGAAAAATAGACCTCAGGCAGTTAAGTTTATTTTAAAAGAACTATGAGATATTTTTATTCATTATATTGGCAAAAATTATTAATATAGCAATAATATTATAGGCTGGTAGGTATGTGAAGAAACAATTTTTTATATATTGTTGACTGGAGGATGAGCTGCTGTAATTTTGTGAAAGTAATCCAGCAATAGATCATAAAATTTAACATAAAACTCTTTGATCTAGCACTCCTACTTTTGGGAATCTATCCCAAGAAATAAAAACACGAAAGGTAAATAAATTTGTGGTAAGAAAAACGTTTTAAAAGGGTCCGAATGACTGTCAACAGGGGAATGAATGGTTGAATAGATTTCATACATTCTTATTAAAGAGTATAGTGAGGCCAGGTGCAGTGGCTCACGCCTGTAATCCCAGCACTTTGGGAGGCTGAGGCGGGGGGATAGGGGTTTTACCATGTTGGCCAGGATGGTCTTGATCTCTTGACCTCTTGCCTGAGGTCAGGAGTTTGAGATCAGCCTGGCCAACATGAGGAAACCCCGTCTCTACTAAAAATACAAAAATTATCTCAGCGTGGTGGCACATGCCTGTAATCCCAGCTACTCAGGAGGCTGAGGCAGGAGAATTGCTTGAGCCTGGGAGATAAAGGTTGCAGTGAGCCCAGATCGTGTCACTGCACTCCAGCCTGGCCGATAGAGCGAGACTGTGTTTCAGAAAAAGAGAGTATAGTGAAATAAGCCAGGTGCAGTGGCTCTTTTATGTAATCCTAGCACTTTGGGAGGCCAAGGTGGGAGGATAACCTGAATCCCAAGAGTTCAGGACCAGCATGAGCAACATAGTGAGATGCTGCCTCTACAAAATAAAAAAATAAAAAAAATTTAGCCAGTGTGGTGGCACATGTCTGTAGCCCTAGCTACTTGGAAGGCTGAGTCAAGGACTCCTTGAGCCCAAGAGTTTGAGGCTGCAGTAAGTTATGAGTACATCACTGCACTCCAGCCTGGGTGACAGAACCAGACCCTGTCTCTTAAAAAAAAAAAAAAAAGGCAAAATAGTTAAAGTTTTAAAAAATGTCTTGATCTAGATGGATATTCATGACACTTGAAAACAGCCAAATGTAGTGTAATGTATCTAGTATGATTTTGTCTTTATCCAAAGAAATAAATAACAGAATCCTCCTATGTGTGATTGTGTATTTATGTGAGCACAGAGAAAAGTGTGGAGAAAATGTACATTTGTACATTAGGGTAACGTCAGTTGGAATGGATGTAGATGATGCTAGGAGAGATTATAGCCTTTTTTGTTTTTGTTTTTGAGACTGAGTCTTGTTCTGTCACCAGGCTAGAGTGCAGTGGCACAGTCTAGCCTCACTGCAACCTCCGCGTCCCGGGTTCAAGAGATTCTCCTGCCTCCGCCTCCCGAGTAGCTGGGACTACAGGCACGTGCCACCACACCCAGCTAATTCTTGTATTTTTAGTAGAGATGGGGTTTCACCACGTTGGCCAGGATGGTCTTGATCCCTTGACCTCATGATCCTCCCGCCTCAGCCTCCCGAAGTGCGCAGGTGTGAGCCACCGCGCCTGTCCTGATTATAGGTTTTTCTTTAGATACCTAAAGGTGGTTTTACTGGTTACAGTGATTATTAAGCTAAAAAGAAAATGGGGAAAAAGTCATTGAGTAAACTCTGGGTTGCATGATGGCAGGGACTTTATTGGGTTTGTTACTAATGTGTCTCTAACACCTAAACACAGTGTCTGGTGCTTAATATTTATTGGATGAATAAAATTTTACAGGTTAATTTATAAGTTAGTAGTAAATGGTAAAACTGATGTGTTCCTCAGTGATTCTTTTTTTTTTTTTTTTTCTTTTTTGAGGCGGAGTCTAGCTCTGTCACCCAGGCTGGAGTGCAGTGGTATAATCTCAGCTCACTGCAACCTCTGCCTCCGCGGTTCAAGTGATTCTCTTGCCTCAGCCTCCTGAGTAGCTGGGATTGTAGGCGTGCACCACCATACCCTGCTCATTTTTGTATTTTTAATAGAGACAGGATTTCGTCGTTTTGGCCAGGCTGGTCTCAAACTCCTAACCTCAGGTGATCCACCCGCCTCGGCCTCCCAAAGTGCTAGGATTACAAGCATGAGCCACTGTGCCCGGCCCCCTCAGTGATTCTTAATTTTTTTTTTTTTTTTTTAATGTATGGATCATTTTGAGAATCTGAAAGTCTTTTCTCAGAACAATACAGATAAATACAAACTTTTAGATGTAATTTAAAGGGGTTCAACACTACCTTGAGGAACTTCGTTCACCTCAGGGTATACAAGCCACGGTATATGCGATAATAGTTTAACAAAAACAGTGTCAGGCATTGTGCCAAGTGCTATATAGTCTTAATTCATTAGAATGTGGTATTTATGCAACTAAATTTGTGAGTTTGAGAACCTGTTAGGTTTCCAGAGGAAGCAACACCATCTGGCATTCTGACACATGTAGAACATTAATCACGAAGGGCCAAAAAAAAAAAAAAATCATTTTATGTGTATGTGTAATAAGACTGTAATGCAGGGGTGCACACAGAGTAGTTAAATAATGGAGATTAAGGGTGGGAAAGTAGAGAACCAGTTAGGAAGAGTGAGCCCTGGGAAGACAGACAAGAATGAGAGGAGACAATTATGGGGGTAATACAGAGTTGCATCTGGAAGAAACAAAAACCATAGAGGAAGATACATAAAATGAATCTCAGCCAGAGAAATTCTTCTTACCCTTTCCTTGCTTACAGCAAAATTGGAGAGGTTTCAGCAATGAGTGAGGCTAAGTAGGCAGCAACTTCTGTATGCATATGCATTCTAGAAGGAAAGTGGTAGAGGACAGGGCCAGTGGGAAATGGCTGTCTTCCAAGACAGAGCTAAGGTTTTCCTTTCTACTTCCAATAAACCATGTATATTTTGTGGAAGCACTTATTGCTGGGTGTTTTATTGCTAAATCTATTTCTTTGATCCTTCCCTCACTAGACAGACTATAAACTCCCACGAGAGTAGGGTCCTCTTCTGTCTTATTTGCTATTGTCTCATTCACTGGCCCCAGTTCCTAGATAGTACCTAGCACATAGTATGTGTCTTATTAATATTGAATTAATGCATTTTTAAAAGTTACCTGTTTGTTTCAGATATATATCTATCTATCTTGTGTTACCCAAGAGATTTGAGTGGGGGCATGGTACCAAAGCCCCAGGTAAAGATTCTGTGTATAGGGAAACTTAGGTAAACAACACCATTTGTAATTTAATTTTTTATCCGTGTATTTCCTTACAACTGTTACTTTTATGAAGGTATATTTGAAAAATGAGGGTATTGTATGTGTGTTTTTGTTTGTTCTTGTTCATTTTAAAGATAGAATTTGATTTGAGAGCAGATTTAATATCTTTTTGTCTGAATTATGTGATTATTGAATGTTTGATGGCAATTGTCACTATATAAATGTAATTTTCTTTTTTAAAAAAACAGAACTACCAATGAAATAAAAAATCTTCAGTACCTACCTCGAACAAGTGAGCCCCGTGAGATGCTCTTTGAAGACAGGACAAGAGCTCATGCAGATCATATAGGACAAGGTTTTGAACGACAGACTACAGCTGCTGTTGGAGTGCTGAAGGCTGTGCACTGTGGAGAGTGGTATGTATAACTACTGCTATTTTAATCAAAGAATTTCTTGGCTTCTACAATTTTTCTTGGAAAATCTTAGTCACTCCTCCTTACTGTGAGAAAAAAGTTACATTTTTTACCTGTATTTGGATATCTTAATTGTATAATTGTACTAAAGATTTTAAATTGCTAGAATCTGGCTGGGCAGGGTGGCTCACACCTGTAATCCCAGCACTTTGGGAGGCTGAGGTGGGTGGATCACAAAGTCAGGAGATCAAGACCAGCCTGGCCAATATGGTGAAACCCTGTCTCTACTAAAAATACAAAAATTAGCCAGGCATGGTGGCGCACGTCTGTAGTCCCAGCTACTCGAGAGGCTGAGGCAGGAGAAACGCTTGAACCCAGGAGGCTGAGGGTGCAGTGAGCCGAGATCGTGCCACTGCACTCCAGCCTGGGTGACAGAGCAAGACTCTGTCTCAAACAAAAACAAAAACAAATAAATTGCCAGAATCTAGGTTTAAACATTTGGGTTAACTGAAATAATTAATTTCATGTTCTAAGTGACGTAGATGTGAAAAAAAATTAAGGTAAAAGGAAAACTAAGGCTTACCTGGTGCATACTGTATGCCTGTTTACAAATGTCATTTAATTTAATTTTTCTCAACTACGTTTTGCTCCATATTTATCATATAAGGAAACTGAGGCTCAGGGCTGTCAAATAATTTTTTTTTTACAGTCATATAGTTAGTAAATGGTACAGCAGAGACTGATTTCAATCTGATTCCACACTGTTCTGTTTTCTCTTCCTCCTGCTTTTCTGTACCCTTTCTGAGGTTTGGTTTCTCTTTATTATGTATTTGCTTTTCCATATTCTTTTTTTTCCAGCTTTGCTTACAAGTTTCACTTTGAATATTTTGACAGATTAAAAAATGGATTATTCTTTTAAATATACTTGAGATGTCATCTCATACATTGTTACTTTCCATTTATTAAATGGATAAAACATATAAAGCAAAGTTACTGTAATTTTGCGGCTGGGTGTGATGGCTCACGCCTGTAATTCCAGCACTTTGGGAGGCCAAGGCGGGTGGATCACCTAAGGTCAGGAGTTCGAGACCAGCCTGGACAACATGGTGAAACCTCATCTCTATTAAACATATGAAAATTAAGCCGGGCGTGGTGGCTCACGCCTGTAATCCCAGCACTTTGGGAGGCCGAGGCGGGCGGATCACGAGGTCAGGAGATCAAGACCATCCTGGTTAACACGGTGAAACCCCGTCTCTACTAAAAATACAAAAAATTAGCCGGGCGTGGTGGCAGGCACCTGTAGTCCCAGCTACTCGGGAGGCTGAGGCAGGAGAGTGGCCTGAACCCAGGAGGCGGAGCTTGCAGTGAGCCGAGCTCGCACCACTGCACTCCAGCCTGGGCTATAGAGCAAGACTCTGTCTCAAAAAAAAAAACAAAAAAAACGAAAATTAGCTGGGGCCAGGCATAGTGGTTCACACCTGTAATCCCAGCACTTTGGGAGGCTGAAGTGGGAAGATAACGAGGTCAGGAGTTCAAGACCAGCCTGACCAACGTGGTGAAACCCCATCTCTGCTAAAAATACACACACACACACACACAAATTAGGCGGGCATGGTGGCATGTGCCTGTAATCCCACCTACTGACGAGGCTGAGGCAGGAGAATTGCTTGAACCCAGGAGGCAAAGGGTGCAGTGAGCCGAGATGGTGCCACTGCACTTCAGCCTGGGCGACAAGAGCAAAACTCTGTCCCGCCATCAAAAAAAAAATAATTTTGCTTGCTTAGATTTTTGTTTTCCAAAATCGAGTATTGTTTGGGTATGAAATGTGAGTTGGAATATGCTATTTTGCTTATTAGAACCATTTAAATTTTTTTTCCCCCCCGAAGAGACAGGGCCTCACTCTGTTGCCCAGCCTATAGTTCAGTGGTGCTGTCATGGCTCACAGCAGCCTTGACCTCTTAGGCTGAAGCAAGCCTCTTGCCTCAGCCTCCTGAGTAGCTAGGACTACAGCCACACACCACCACATCTATAAATTAAGAACAATTAAGTCAACTTTGTTGATAGTGAATGTGGTTCACGTCTTTTATAGTCTTACTTATTTTTGTCTACTTGTTAATTTGCAGCTTTAATACTGGATTTGTCTTTTTCCTGTCAGTTTTTCTAGTTTTTGCTCTATTTTTTCTTTTGTGACAGTTTTATCAAGCCATGATCACATACCATACAATTCACCCATTTAAAGTGTACATACAGTTGAATAGTTTTTGGTATATTCACAGAGTTGTGCAACCACCACCAAAATGATAGAACATATGATAGAACATTTTCATCACTTCACAGAGAAACCACAGCCTTTAGCCATCACCTCCCCAATCCTCCATCCTCCATCCTCCATACTCCCAGCCCTAGGCAAGCACTAATTTACTTTCTGTCAGTAGGTATATGTCTGTTCTTAACATCTAATATAAATGGAATCACATAACGTGGTCTTTTGTGATTAGCTTCTTTCACTTAGCATAGTGTTTTGAAGGTTGTTCCATATAGTTTGAAGCTGTGTTCTTAGGCAAGTACACATTTAGAATTGTTATTCTTGATAAATTGACCTATTTTTTCATTATAAACTGCCCTTTTTATCCTTGGTAATATTCCTTGTCCTGAAACTTTGTTAATATAGCCAATTCAGCCTTCTTATGATTTGTATTTACATGCTGTATCTTTTCCCATTCTTTTTCTTTTAACTTATGTCTATATTATTGTTACATGTAGATAGATACATAGTTGAGTCTTACTTTTTTTAACCCAGTGACAATCTTTGTCTTTTAATTGGAGTATTTAGATTATTTATATTTAATAGAAATATTAGTAAATTTGATTTTAAATTTACCTTCTTGCTTTTTCCAATTTGCTTCTTTATTCCTTTTTTACCCGTTTTCTTGTCATATTTAAGCATTCCATTTTACCTCCATGATTTGGTTAGTAGCTTATAGCACTGTGGTTTTTTTTTTTTTTTTTTTTTTTAAATTCCATTGTTGTCAACTTACCACAGTCTGCCTTCAAATAATATTAGACTTCTTTATGTAATGTGTAAGAATCTTTCAATAGTATACTTCCAGTTATTCCCTCCCCTTCACATTTCTGGCCTTTGTGCTAATTGTCTTGTATTTTACTTTACGTATGCTATAAACCCCACGATGTATGTTATTACTTTTTCTTTAAAGAATCATTTCTAAAGATATTTCTTTAAATGAGAATAAAACCTCTTTCATATTTATCATTAGGTGTGCTATACATTCCTTTTCATAGATCTACATTTTCATTTAAGTATCATTTTCCTTCCGCCTGAAGAAATTCCTTTAGCAGTCTTTGTTATGCTGGTTTTCCGGTGACACATTCTCTCAGCTTTTGTTTATTTGAACATGTTTTTATTTCACATTTTTGGAGGATATTTTTGGTGGGTATAGAATTCTAGATTGACTTTTTCTTTTAGTACTTTAAAAGTAGTCCATTCTCTTCAGGGTTGCATTGCCTTTGATAAGAAGCCTATGATCATTCTTATCCTTCTTTCTCTGTATATAATGTATTACATGATTCTCAGATTTTCTTTTTTTATCACTGGTTTTTAGAAATTTAGTTATGATTTGCCTTCATATGATTTTTTTTAATGTTGTTTGGAATTTTATTCCAAAATCCATTTTTTAGCATCTCTGTAAAAATGTATTTATATATTCCTAATTAATTGAAGAATTTGAGAATTTTTTAGAATTATATTTAAAGGGACGAGTAACCTCAGCAAACACCAAGTTTATTATATTGGTACTTTTCTAATGAAATCTCTTAATTTATAAAGTTACTTAAGAGTTTTATGCATCAGTATAGTTATATGTATCTTCTATGGAAAGAAAATACTCCCTTTTCCTCACATTTACTTCTAATTTTTATGTAGTATTTTCAACTTTAGCACTTAAATGTATGAAGCATTAATCTTATTCTTCAAATAGAACACTTAATTTTCTTGGTTTATACAGTTTACCAATTCAGATCATTTCAATTTTCCAAACTCTTGTGACAAATATTTATACAAAATGAAGTCAGTTTTTAATCTCTGTCTAGGTTGAAAGTCATGGTGTTGGCTCTTTCTTTAAATATGTGAAATGGCTTTCCAATTAACAGTTTATTTGTAAGACAGTACTGTGGTATTGACCATAAACCATTTTTGCTTTGAGTTTAATAAGAGCTCAAGAGAGTGAAACATTTATGGCAGATTCTTGTTATCTCATTTTCTTTTTTAGGCCTGATCAACCCCGTATAACCAAAGATGTAATTTGTTTTCATGCTGAAGATTTCTTAGAAGTAGTTCAACGAATGCAGTTAGATTTACATGAACCTCCACTGTCCCAGGTATTTTTAATACACTTACTGTCTTACACTTACTGGTTTAGTTTTTATTATGAAGAGTCTTATTTGTATTGTTTTATTATTTTTTAGTGTGTCCAATGGGTTGATGATGCAAAACTGAATCAACTGAGGAGGGAAGGCATTCGCTATGCCAGGATTCAGCTATATGATAATGACATTTATTTTATTCCAAGGAATGTTGTTCATCAGTTCAAGACAGTTTCAGCTGTATGCAGTTTAGCATGGCACATTCGGCTCAAATTATATCACTCAGAGGAGGACACTTCTCAGAATACAGCTACTCATGAAACAGGCACATCATCAGATTCCACATCATCTGTTCTTGGACCTGACACTGACAACATGGTTTGTGCTGTAAGCAAAGCCTCCTTGGATTCTGTTTTTTCAGATAAACTTCATTCTAAATATGAATTACAGCAGATTAAACATGAACCTGTTGCATCTGTAAGAATCAAGGAAGAACCTGTGAATGTTAATGTTCCTGAAAAGACTAGAGCACTGAATAATATGGATGGCAAGAATGTTAAAGCAAAATTGGATCATGTTCAATTTACAGAATTTAAGATTGACGTGGATTCTAAATTTGAAAATAGCAACAAAGATTTAAAGGAAGAATTGTGCCCTGGAAATCTAAGTCTAGTTGATATAAGGCAACACAGTTCAGCACATTCAAATCAAGATAAAAAAGACGATGACATTTTGTGCTAAATTTGCATATAGCATCTAAAATCCTTTTTAAAAAAAATTTAATAATGTAATAAAGATTCATGAATTCTGAAAGCAAGCCAAGGACTTGCTCCTATATCTGTTACAAAACATTGTTTATGTAGCTTTGTAACATTCCTCAGTGCCTGTCCATAACTGTGAAGTATTAAGCACTTAGGGCCAGATGCACTGTAAACATTGCAGGTTTAAACATAAAGGAGTCTTTAAAAAAAATCATTTACGTTGGAATTTTAGGTTTTAGAATAGAGCTGACATTAACATATATATAAATATATATATATATATTTTGTAATATGAGCCAGAATTCTTTTTCAACAATTTAAAGCTTTTCCATAGAGCTTATTTATATCCTTTTTTTTTTCATTTTAAATGTGTCAGCACTGTAGTGTAAATAGCTTTTAAAATATCTTTTTAGTGTGATTTATACTGAAATGTGAGCCACTTAATAAAGGTTCATATTAATAAATATGTTTTCTGTTGAGTCTGCAAAGACAAACTGACAATTCATTTAAGTCATTTGTTTGATATGATTCTCTGCTGGTATATCCATTTAGTGTGGTATTGGAGTGCAAATGTACATAAGTCAAATCTAGTACATATTTAAATTCCCCACGCTGTGCTGGCTTTTTTTTTTTTTTTTTTTTTTTTTTTGGTATGGAGTCTCATTCTGTCACCAGGCTGGAGTGCAGTAGTGCAATCTTGGCTCACTGCAACCTCTGCCTCTCAGGTTCAAGTGATTCTCCTGCCTCAGCCTCCGGAGTAGCTGGGACTACAGGCACGTGCCACCACACCCAGCTAATTTTTTTATTTTTAATAGAGATGGGGTTTCATCATGTTGGCCAGGATCGTCTTGATCTCTTGACTTTGTGATCTGCCCGCCTTGGCCTCCCAGAGTGCTGGGATTGCAGGCATGAGCCACAGTGCCTAGCCTGTGCAGGCATTTTTAACAACCAAGACTCAGTTAAGAAAGTGTGCATCTGTGTGTGTGTGAATGTATATATGTATATCATATTTGCATAATTTTCTTAAATTGCTGAATAAGATGAATATGTAAAATTCCTTAGCCCTTCTCCCCGGAATACATTGAAAAATTTTTATATTAAACTATTAAGAAAGCGGTGTAGGTAATAGAAACAGTTTTAGAAAGTTGGGAGAAACAAGGTATGTTATTGATAACAAAGCCTTCTAACTAATGAAGTTACGTGGCCAGATTACATAGCCTACCATAGATTTTTTTGGTTATGTATGGAGTGATAAGAAGTATAGAGAATTTTCTTACTAATAAGTACCTTTACTAAGTAATAGCTGAGTATAAAATCTTTAGTTACAGAAAGCTTAATTGTGAGCAATTAAAATCCTTTTACATTTTTCTTGCAGAATGGGAGAAAAATATGGCAAATACAAAACTGTAAAATAAGGGCAATGACAATGACTCAACTGCCATGTACAGAGATGTAACTAACAAAATAGTTTGTGGTACCTCATCTCTCTCAGGATCCCCTCCCTACCCTAGCAAGGCAAACAACTTGGAATACTTGCTTTTCAAAAGAAGTTCTAGACATTAAATTGAGGTAGGAGACAGATTGCCAGTGCCTAACTACAGATGAGTAAAACAGACTCTTTAATGATAGACTCACTGTTTGACACTGCTTCCACTATTGTAATTAAAAGTCAGACAGAAGTCTTTGATGTATGTGTTGCTGTAAGAAACTTTGCTCATTGCAGATCTATTTTGTTTGTTTTTGGTATTATTCTGGGCGCATACTTTGGTTGATGACTTTCAGTTGGGGTTCTTTGTGCTGCCTTTTGGGTTACTGTTGGTATTTCCATCTATAGTACCCATCAAAACTGCTCATATTTCTGGTTAGGGTGAAGCCATTTAGGAAGAAGCATTTTACCAGAACAAATAAAAGTTAATTGCAGCAATGATGTCAGTTCTGGCCCCTAGATTAATAAAAGGACGGGCAGATATCATAGGAAATTTTCATGGTTTGTAGGAAATCAGTGTTTGCAACATAGGAAGTTTCATGGGATAGGGAAGGTATAAATCAAGATAGTAAGAGTTTTGTTTTATATGTCATTGTCTTACTGTGCTCCCCACCTATTTAATCTTCTGTTTTAAGCTAAATTTATGGATTTGCACGTACCCTTTTGAGTGACAAAAGTTCTTAACAAACCAGTATTGAGAAATGAGAAGGGATGTGATTAAAATGGTTTTCTGTTTCTCTTTAAAGTTGAAGAACGATATATTTAACAAGAGATGTGTTTTATTTCCAATTTTCCAGTAGCATATATGTAGATGCATTGAGGTCATACTGTGAGAAAATATCTTTAGGGTATCCCTCCAAAATATGAGCCTTAAACTTTTTAACTTAAAGGAAGGCATATCTAATAACAACCATAGTGGTTGCTTTTAGGTATAGTTTCCTATATAATCTATAGTCAGACTTATCTATAATATGAAAATTAAATTGTTTTAAAATGCATACATTGGCCGGGCACGGTGGCTCACGCCTGTAATCCCAGCACTTTGGGAGGTCGAGGCGGGCGGATCACAAGGTCAGGAGTTTGAGACCAGTCTGGCCAACATGGTGAAACCCCGTCTCTACTAAAAATACAAAAAAATTAGCTGGGCCTGGTGGCGTGCGCCTGTAATCCCAGCTACTCGGGAGGCTGAGGCAGGGGAATTGCTTGAACCAGGGAGGTGGAGGTTGCAGTGAGCCATGATCACGCCACTGACCTCCAGCCTGGGCAACAGAATGAGACTCTGTCTCAAAAAAAAAAAAGCATACATCTCTGAAGGTAAAGTATAAATCAGTGGGCTCAAGATTTGCAGGTATAGCCTTGTTATTGCCTTCAACAATGCTTACGTTCCTTGTCTTACGGGTTATAATTTTCAAATCCTCTTCAGATACAATCTGAGAACTTGTTGACTACCTTTGTTACATTTAAAAATTTTCTATTTTAATATTGCATTATATTAATGGTTTTATAGTTAGTACATTCCAGTTCTTTATCTGAAGAATATTGCTTTTATTTCCAGTTTCTTGGACCAGAACAATAAACTACGTAAGACTTAGTTTCTATATGGTCATATACTATATAGAATAAAGAATTGTTACGTAAATTATTAAATGGGTATACAGACCTTTACATAAAAACTAAGGTACCTCAGTGGAATCTGCTATAGTGCTTCCCCCTCCCCACCCCTCCATTTTGTTTATAACCTTTTAGCTATCTAAATAATACATATTCCATACTCAGGTTAGCTGGTTAGCTAGCAAAAGAATTAACATTTGTGATATTTACTTGCAAACTTTACTGAAGCCATATTCATTATCTTCTTTGTCACCAAGGCTGTTGACCTTAAATAAACATTAAGTTATCTTGCACAACACTGTATATGTGTGTGTGCATGTGCCTGTTTCTGTGTACATTTGTGGGAAATAATTATGTTTGTTTCCACATGTATTCATTTTTAATCCATTCTGTAACTTTTCTGGGGGGGGGGTGGTCATTGAGGGTAGGGAAGGTTTTATATTTTAAGTTGTCGTTAAGGTATTTCATTAGTGTTCCTGAGTGTAAAACAGTTTTTTCCCAAATACTTATGGCAGATAAGAGCATTTTTGTAAATAATAAATTAGCACCGTTTGGATTAAATTTGCATTCAGTTGTTTTTTAGACAGGTTCATTGTCATGTAAAGCAAATATCTCAAAATTTATTTTACATTTAGCAAAGGTGCAAGATTGTTTTTGGAGTTTGAGAGATATTTTCCTTGTCTTCCATCTTTCAATAAATACTAAAATTGATAACCACAATCTTTTTACTTTTGTAATTATTTTCTTTAAATTGACATTTTAATCTTGTCAACTTTAAAAGTTCTTTTCTGTCTTCAATAGAAACCATAAAATCTTGAATTGACTCCAATTTGAAAATCTTTTTTTTTACTCTTAAAGCTAACTCTCAAAAGTTGACTTACGCCAACAGAGACAGATATTGAGGATTATCTTAAAAAGGTCACTAAACCAGGTATGGGTGCTGGGAATGGTACGATAAATACCTCTCTTGTCCCACTAGACGTAACGATTGGGAAGACAAAAGCGCCATTCTTTTCAAAATACTTTTAGACTGCATGATGGGTTTTAGGTGTGGTAAAATAGATCTTACTCTTTCTCTTACTTGATGTAACTACATTTATATGTAAACACAATTTTACTGGTTTTAGACTGCATTGCCTGTTTTATGAAAGAGTCATGTTTGAGGTTTGGCACTGACAGTACACTTCAGATACGATAATTAAGGGGACAACTCAGGAGAGCTTGTAAGTCCTTTTGTCTTCTATCCTGGCTTTTCTTTTCTTTCTGTAACCCAGTACATACTACAGATGGAAATCATTGCTTTTTAGAACGTCAAGCACCCACAGCCTAAAAACAAAGCTGTCTTTTCCTCGTAGCTTTATGGGTGTTGTATAGCAGTCATATCTCTGCTGAGAGCGGGGAAGGGAGGGGAAAACATCCTGCATTTCAGGTTATCTTCCCTTCCAGCTCTTCTTGGACTTCAGACCCAATCAGGGAATATGAATGAGCTTGAGAACAAAATATGGGCTGGGCGAGTAGAATTTATGTTAACTAGAAATTAAAATTTGTAACTTGTATGTTTAATTACTGTGAACTGCCTACCAAAAACTGCACTGTGAACATGTGAGAACTCTGGATCATTCTGTACATTTTGAAATTTAGAACTTACGCATCTATGTTGTTAGAATGTTAAATCTACACTTTTCTGTAAAGTTCACTGCTGTTGTGCTACTTAAGACTACTAAGTGTACAGAGTCAGAGGCAAATCAGTATTATAGTCGCACAGCCTGGCCAACATGGCAAAACCCCGTCTCTACTAAAAATATAAAACTTAGCCGGGCATGGTGACACGCACCTGTAATCCTAGCTACTCAGGAGGCTGAGGCAGGAGAATCGCTTGAACCTGGGAGGCGGAGGTTGCAGTGAGCCGAGATCGTGCCATTGCACTCCAGCATGGGTGACAGAGCAAGACTCAGTCTCAAAACAAACAACAAACAATATTATAGTCACAAATGTTGTGTAATAGAGAGTTGAGAAACTTCTTTGGACAGACAGTTTGATCCCCCTGCCCCGCCAACCCAAAGTTTTTTCTTGAAATTTTATTTGTCAACTAAGCCAGATTTTTACCTGCCTCTACCTCAAATCTGTTGTTTTTAAAAATACCTTTATCTTT